AAATTAGGTAAAAGTTATTGTAAATGGAGGAGAAAAGTGAACAGGTAAAAGGAATGGATTAATAGTGGAAGTTAAAAAGACAGGTAAGAATGAAAACTGGAATGCTTTTTCCATTTTGTAATGAATTTCATTCAATTCAATAAAATAAAAATGTAAGCGGAAAAAAAAAGGAAAAAGCGGAAGAAATGATGGAGGAAAAAGGAATGAAAAGTGGAAAGTTTCATTATTTTTTTTTTTTGTGAAAAGTTTTTTTTGGAGGAAAAAGGAATGAAAAGTGAAAAGTTTCATTTTTGATATTTACATTAGGAAAAAAAAGAAAAGAAAAGAAAAGGAAAGGAAAAAGGGAGAATGAAAGAGGAAAATTGTTTTAATTTTTGAAATAATTTTTGTATAAAAAAACAAAACAAACAAATTATTTTTACTTAAAAAAGAATCGAAGAAATAATTAATAAAAGTATTTGAAATTATAGTAATTAATTAATAAAACTACTTAAAATTTTATTAATCATTTAATAAAGCTATTTTTAATTATAATAATTATTTGATAAAAGTATTTCAAAATTAAATTAATCGATTGATAAAACTATTCAAAACGACATTAATCAATTGATAAAATTATTTAAAACTATGTTAATTAATTAAAATGCTAAATTTTTCTTTGCATGATTAATAATTTGATTGGTTAGCTGGAAAATTATCAGTTTTCTTTTTTTAATAAAAATAAAAAATTTGAAAAGCAAATAAAGATTTTTGCAAGAAAGTAAAGTAAATTCAGCTGTTTTTTTTGCAAATATTATAATTTTTTCAAAATTTCAAAATTTTTGAATTTGCTTTTATTATAAAATCTAAATTTTTAAAGTTTAAAACTTTTACATTTATCATTTCATTTATTTTAACAATTAAAATTAATTGAAATTGAGCTTATATGAAATCATGTTTGGATTTTTATTTACATACTTTCTGTGGTGAGTGTTGCAGTTTTTGTTTGTCAATCAGACAACTATGTGTCGAAGTGTCACATCTAAAAGTTTCCTAGAAAAAAAAAAAAAAAAGAAGAAGAATCAAATAATTCTTCAACAGGAATATTTGTCCAAGAGTAAAAGCTAGTAGAAAAATGAAGTAGAAGAAGGAGGAGGAGGAAAAGTAAGCAGAAAAAAAAAAGGATTAGTTTGGAAAGGAAGTGAAAATTTTTGTGCCATTGAAGATCTCCGGTGTACCAACCTCCTGAAACCGGACAAAGGTAGACAGTTATTGGATAATAGGTTGAATATACAAGCGCAACCCGGTACAATATATAAAGGTAAAAAAAAAAAAAAAAAGAAAACTTCCTGGTGCAATTATAAAACGGCCCATTTCTTCATTTTATCGTGCTAGCATAAATTTCAAATTTCAACAGATTTGTTGAAGCCATTTTTTTTTTTTGGTTGACATTGAACGAAAAAAAAAAAATGTCAAAGCTTCTAAGTAATGCTTTGCTCATTGCATCGTTGTTTTTTCCCGAAATTATTCATTCAACTGAGGTATGTTTTATCGTTTTTTTTCTTTTGTCTACTTTAAAAATTTTAATTTATCAAATTAAATTTTACTTATTAACTTGAGAAAAGAAAAGATTAGAGGAAAAGAGAGAGAGAGAGAGAGACAAGAAGAGAGAAAAAATGAATTAGAATTGTAATGAAAATCAAATTTTATATAATTAAACTAAATAAATTGTGTAACAAATTATTTTTGTATCAAAAAATTTTGATTATTTCTTTTCCTTCCCTTAACAAATTATAATTATAGCTATTTAAATTTGAAAAATTTTTCTTCCTAAAATTCAGAAATTAAATTTTATTTGTTTATTTATTTATTTATTTTTTTGAATGAATAACAGATATTACCTTTGCTAATGTTACTAATATTACTTTAGCTAATATCTGTATTTTACCTTAACGAATATATCCATTGAGTTATTAGCTAAGATAATAGCAAATAAAATTGAAATATTAACTAATTGAAAGGTAATTAGATAAGTTTAAATGAATATTCTTATATTATAATATATTAAAGTAATCAAAGTTTAATAAATTTTTTACTTCCGAAATTGACCAAAAATTAAAAATGAAAATATACAATATTTTTTTTATAAAAAACTTAATACGTGTTTAAAATTCAAAATTTAATATGTATTTAAAATTTAAAGTTTAATATGCATTAAAAATTTAAAATTTAATATTTATTTGAAATTTTAAATTTAATATATATTTAAAATTTAATAAAGTAATAAATATCGTAATATTTATGTTTTATTTGCGCCAAAAATAATATAAAGAAAATATATTACCATCTACAAGATTTGATTCAATTCATAATCAGTTTCATTGATAATTTGTCTTTAACTCTTACATACAAATATAATTTAATGAAATAATTTTATTTACACGAAATTCATGCATATTTTCAAGCAATTAATCAATATTGCTATCTTTAAGTAATAATTAATTAAAAGAAAAAAAAGAAATATTTATACCTTCTAAATTATTATAAGTATCCATAAAGCATTAATGTTTGCTATATAAATTTACTCATTTTATTTTTTAAATTATTAATTTTTATTTGTTGTAATTAATTAAAGTCAAATTCTAGTTATTTTCCATAATTCAGGTATGATCAGTTGAAATAAATTTTTCCCAAATAATGTGTTTATGATGGTAATTTTTGTATGCAATTTTATGATGCTAATTTTTCTAATACTAATTATGCTAATTAGTATTTTCCAAAAGAAGAAGAGAGAGAGAGAGGGAGAGAAGCTGAGAAAAAGAAGGTAAATTTAATAAATTTGCTTAATTTAATAGATTTAATTAATAAACTTACTCGATTTAATTTAATAAAATTTAAAAAAACTAAATTTATTAAAATTTTCAATCAAAATTGTAGAAAAATAAATGATACGTATTGTCACTATGTATATATGTATAATTCAATTAATTCTTTCCTTGTTTTTTTGATTTTAATTTTACATATTAATTATTTATTTTAGCTATTACAACAGAAACATTTCATCTTTCATCTTTATTTAATTCTTCTACTCCAATTCATTCCAATTCACAAACAAATCATTATTTCAAAAATTTTGTTTACTTTATGACTTCCTACTGTTTGAATGCTGTCAACCAATTTGTCAACTCAACCAACCCATCCTTCCTCCTATTACATTGCATTTTTAACAATTATATTTAATCCTTTTGCTCCAAAAATCCATTTGTAAATAATAAATTCTTTTTTTGAAAAAATTAAGCAATAATGAAAAAAAAAGAAACTCTTAGTTTTTTTTTTGTTCTTATTGTAAAAGAGTGAATAATTTGAATTGAAAAAAAAAAGAAATGGAAAATAAAATTTTCATTTGTTTTTTGTTGAAAAATTATCAAAAAAATTTTTTTTTTCAAATTTAACTCATTTCATTTTAAATTAGGGAAAAAAATTTTACTTTTGAATGTATAAATTTTCAGGTTTTTTAAAAAATTTTTTGAATGAAATTAATTTATTATAAAAAAAGAATTCCAACATTGATATAATTTCCAATTTGAATTGTTTTTTTTTCATTTTAAATAATTATTTTAATCAAATACTAATTACTTTTTTTATTTTTATTTTTTGATGATTTAATTTATTTCTTTTTGTTTATTTGATTGGATAACAATAGTAATGTAAATTGATATGATCATTGCAAAATTATAAATTATTTTAAAATTGAAAATTTCTTTTTGATCTTTAATTTTTTTAAATGTTTTTCAATTTTTTGCAAGGGAAAAAGACCAGAAAATAAATATTTCCTTTTATAATACTGAAATTGTTCATTAGTTATTGCAAAATAAAATTTGGACAGGAATGAAAAAAATGCAAACTGAAATGGTTAGTTAGCAAAATTAACTGGTTGATTGATAAATAGCAAATAAATAAAGAAACTGGAAATTTACTTACCTGTAAGTTAGGTAAACAAAAAAAAAATATTATTATTAAGGTAGTAAAATAGTAGGAATGTATGTTAGTATATGCCAACAATAACTTAGGATTATAGAAAGCATTAAAAATATTCATTAGAGTAAATAAAACTTGAATAATGATAAATAAACAAAAAAAAAGGAAAAGGATGAAAAGAAGGAAAAACATTAAATTGTTATTATAACTTTTTATAATTACTAGTTAAAGTAAATAAATGAAACAAGTTATTTTGTTAAATACTTTTTCTTTCTCATATCAAAAAATAAAATTTTACTATTTATTAAATGAAATTATGAAAAATATTAAAAAATTATGGAAAATTATGAAAAATAAATAAATAAAAGAAAAAAATTTTCCAAAAAAAAAAATGAAATTTCTTTTTTTTTTTTTTGTCAATAAATAAAAAGATACGATGCCTAATGGCTAATAAATTAATACAAAAGATAAACAAAGAAAAAAAAAAGGCAAATTCAATAATTTATGGTTTCTTTTTTTTTTAAATTAATCATAAAATCTTTTATAAAAAATAGCAAAAATTTTTTCAAAACATTTCGATTATCACAAAACAAAAAAAAAAAGAAAAAGAGATTATTTATTAAAAATACAAATGAATATTGTAAATTATTGTTTAAAATAAAATTATAAGAAAAAGAAAAAAAAAGCGAAAATTTTTTGAAATATTTCTAGTTTTTCAAAGAAATAATTGAGAATTTTATATTTTTTATTTTTTTTTTTTGTTTCTGTAATTTTGAAAGAATTTCAAAATATATAACAAATTTGGAATGCATAATGAAAATTATATTTTTAGTTATGGAAATAATTATAAAATTTTATTACAACTTTTTTAAAGAAAAAGAAAATTAACAAATATTGAGGTAGTAAATTTCTCTTTTGTTAAAATTTAAAATTTAAAAAAAAGAGACATTTTCAGAATGTCATATACAAATTGTTCAATATCGATTTTTTTTAATTAAGAAAAACTTTTGAGAAATTTTTTTTTGAAATAATTTCATTTCTAGACACAGTTACATATTCGAGCAAAACGTTGCATTTGTATTTCGATTAGTTGTGGCTGTTATCAACAACCATCCAGTTCAATCTATCGTCAACCATCATCATTCACCGGTTCGATCTATCGTCAACCATCATCATCCTCCGGTTTAATCTATCGACAACCATTACCATCCTCCGGTTCGATCAATTCACAATCATTACCATCCTCCGGTTTGATTAATCCGCAACCATTACCATCTTCATATCGGCAACCAATTTATCGACAACAACCGGATCGAGCATCATGCATTACAGATTGCATTCAACGTTGTATGCAAAATCAACAAAATACTTGTCAACAAACATGCCAGAATTTATGGTTTGTTTGAGTATATTTTTATTAAATTTCAAAAAATTTCAATTCAAATTTTCAAATTTAATAATTACTAAATTAAATATATGAAAATATTTTTAAATAAAAGAAAAAATTTTTTCTCTCAGATTATTCCTCTTTTTTTTTTCTTTTATTTCTTCTGATAAGAATCTAATTTTTTTCACATCTAATTTTGACACAAATTAATTTTTATATAATCCACGTTTTTTCACGTACGTCATAAACTTCACTTATTACTTATTCTTTCCTATTACCTAATAGAGTATTATAATTTATAGCGGTACACAAACAACATATGAACAACAAAAAGGAAATGTACCAATATCTTATCCGTATGAGCCAATGACCCATGAGATAGCCACTGGACAGCAAAGCGCTAGTGGAACATGCATACATGTTTGCATGCCTAGCTGTGAATCACAATGCATTCAACGATCTACTCCAGTACCTACATTACCACACCATAATGGTCCTATACCTGTGGTACAAAGCCAGGTAAATTTGCTAATTGTATCTTTTAATTTTCTTATTTGAAATATAAATTCTAATTAAATTTTTAATTAAATCCCAAAAATTTAATTTAAATATCGCTTTTTTTTTTCTTTTTACAGACTCCTTCCTATTATCCATCACAACAGTATGAACCAGGAGTACACAATATTCCGATAATGATAATACAATTTGCATCAATCTTTGTATGCCATCTTGTGAAAGTCAATGCATTGAACGAACAACTCCCGCAGATTACTTTAAATCAACTTCGTATTCACCTGATATTGATTATCCAAAACCAACCTCATATTCACCTGGTATTGATTATCCGAAATCAACCCCATATATACCAGGTATTGATCATCCAAGACCAACACCTTATTTACCGGTCATTGATTATCCAAAATCATTCCCATATTCACCATCATCATCATCATCTTATCAAAATTATTTTCCCCAAGCTAATCAAACATCAATTGTTATTCGACCATATCAGAAGAGTGGTACAACAACAATTTGTTTACCTATTTGTATGCCATTATGTCAAACACAATGTACCGAAAATCAAAAACAAAATGGTGGAATAGATGGAAAATATGGTGGTATCATTGAGGAACAAACAATACCTAATCAAACTAATTTACCACCTCATGAAATTTCCATTAATTTACCACAATCAATTCAACAATCATCAGATTGCATGAATTTATGCCATGAAACATGTATGGAACAATGTGTTGAACAAAGTATTACTTTTTTTTATTATTTACTTATTTTTTTTCAATATTTAAAAAAGTAAAATTAAAATTTTTTAATTTAAATTTTCCAGAGAATTTAAATTAAAAAAGATTATTTACTGATTGAAATTTAAATCTGTCGACGGCGATATCATTTAAATGAAGTCACAAATTTAATTAAAAGAATAAAACAAGTAGCATATTAGCATACAAATTTGAGCATAATTTTTGATTGCTTAAACTGATATCAATGAATCACTTCAAACTGATATCAATGTATCACATCAAACTGATATCAATGTATCACTTCAAACTGATATCAATGTATCACATCAAACTGATATCAGTGTATCCATTTTTTGACATCAATTTTTTGTTAATTAATTCAAACTGATATTACTGCATGTCATTTTTCCACTCATCATTTACTAATTAAAGAAGAAAAGAAAGAAAAGGAAAACAATGAAAAATTTCGTATCAAACATTACTTTTTTTTTAGGTCAACCAGCTGATCAATGTCAACCATCCTGTTTATATACATGTCAGGGAAGTTGTCCTCAATCTCCAGTAAATACCGGTACTACCAATTCCATTCAACAGCTTCAAACAGAATCAGAAATTTATGAAACATTTACGCAACCTTCAGAAAATTTCATCAATCCATCTCTCTCGAAAACATTCCTTCTTCGTTCACCACCATATTATAGTCAAAATTCCTTCCATGAATCACCAATCCGTGAATCATCTCTTATCAATTGTCAATCTGATCATGCAACAACTGGTCAATGTAATTGTCCAGCTGGTTATGCGACATGTTTATCAGCAAAATCTCGTATTATTCAACGGAAATGTTGTAGGAAACGATGATAAAAATAATAAATTAAAAATTTACAATATTGTCATAATATTCTTGCAAAATTTGACATTTCTCAGTTCATTTTACCGAATTTTCTTTTTTTTTTCTGAAAATTTTTCAATTTTATTTCCTAAAATTCTTTTCATTCATTGAAAAATCATAAATTTTGTATTCTTTCAAACGGATGATATTCGTTAAGAAATTTTTTGCATCAAATTTCAATCATTTATTACTGCCTTATCAAAATGGTAATTATTCGTTGTCAATCATTTGTAAAATGTTGCATTTCATCAAATAAAAATTTGTTCATTGAAATTTTTTTTTAGCATAAAAATAAAAAGTATGCATGATTCTATTATTAACATCGAATAAGATTACACGTATCACTTAAGTCATAGAATCACGTAAGTTATAGGATCACATAAATTGTAATTATACACGTAATACGTAAACATTACTGATTCGTACACATCTATCGGTAATAAAAAAAAAAAAGGGAAAATTTGTTTTATGTTTGTAAAATTTTGCTACCTATATAAATTGCGAAAATCTTCTGAATTACAACTTACGTAATCCCTCTGATATCCTATTTTATTATCAATAGGATTACGTAAGTCAATAATTGCACGTAATACGTAAATATAAATTGATCCGTAAAAATCTTTTTTAACAAAATTTATGTTGCAAAAAATTCCACAGTATACATAAATTATGTAAATTTTTATTTAATCAATTTTTTAATTAGCAAAAGTTCTTAATTAACAGCAGCACTTTACATTTTTCTTGAATAAATTTTCATTTTACAATATTAAAACAAATTTTATTCATACAATCATTCCCATCCATATCATCCTACCTTTGAATTTCAATAAATTTCAATTTTACAACTTTCCCTAAATTTTTTAAATATTTCATTCAATCCTTACTTTCGTCCTTACTTTGACAATATTGAATTATCAGTACTTCAGCTTTCGTCCTTGCTTTGACAATATTGAATTATCAGTGCTTTAGCTTTCGTCCTTGCTTTGACAATATTGAATTATCAGTACTTTAGCTTACTTTCCATGCCTACAATATGTATAGTTAAATTTTTATCATCACTTATCATTACTATTAAATTATCGATTTTTAAAAATTCAAAATTTCTTTAGAAAAAAAAAACTAACAAATAAATAAATATTAAACAAAAATAGATGTGCACGAAGTGGGATTCGAACCCACGCATCGATAACGATACCAGAACACCCATTCTAAATCGTATCACACTTTGAACTCTCGTGTGAAGCATTATATTGCTTGAGTCTGGCGCCTTAGACCACTCGGCCATCCGTGCAACAAGCTTTTAATTTGCCATAATTTTTTCTTGCCTTCAAACATATTATTAATCAATAATCTGAAAAAATTCCCTGATTCATTCCGATGATTATATCATTTATCAGAAAAGGTCAAAGGTCAACGATTTAATTTCTCTTCCAGAATTATCAACAATATAATTTGGAAAAAAACATTTGATTAATTTAAATATAACTCCGGAATAGATATATTACTGTGTATGAGCACGGATGGCCGAGTGGTCTAAGGCGCCAGACTCAAGCAACGCAATGCTTCACACGAGAGTACAATGTGTGTTACGATCTAAATGGGTGTTCTGGTATCGTTATCGATGCGTGGGTTCGAATCCCACTCCGTGCACGACCTAATTTTATTTCATTTGAAATTGTCAAAATAAAATTTATGACATAACATAAGATTTCGGAAAGAAAAATCAATAAATTATCAGATTATTCAAATTTACATGAAATTTTTTCTAATAATTTCAACTTTTTTTTCAAGTAAATTAGTAAATTTTTAGTAAATTTCAAACTTTTTATTTAATTAATTGATATAAATCAAACATTTAAGGGATTGTGGTGAAACAAACATTTACAAATCAATCGATTTTTGTCACATAATTTAAATTCAGTTCATTAATCGTCATTGCAACAATTATTTGTCACAATTAAAGTCACAGTCGCATAGCTCTCAATTATTTGTCACAATTAAAGTCACAGTCGCATAGCTCTACTACGACAATCCTCGTTGCAATCCATTGGATCGGTTGGTTAATATTAATGAAATGAATTTTGCTGGAAATTGCAATGTTTGAGATCCTTTTTTCCCTCTAGGATAAAGACTAAAATATTCGCGAGATATTTCGGTCAAAATATTCGGAAGATATTTCGGTCAAAATATTCGCGAGATATTTCGGTCAAAAATTATTTATTCAGTTTTTTTTCCCTTTTCATTAAATTTAAACAAATATTAATAGTTAAATTATTTAGCAAATTTAAAATGACATCAAATTGTTTTCCATCGTTTATTTTAAATGTTTAATTTGTCATTTTTGCTTCTTTTCTTCTGAGAAAGATAATTAAAAGTAATTAAAAATGGCAATT